AATAAAAATTTGTTTTATTATTTTATAAATACGGAATATAGTTTTCTTAAATATTATTTCACATGCCAAAAATAGCTGTTTGCAAATAAAATCTATTAGACATGGACAATGTGATAAAATTAGCAGATGGTAGACAGTTGACACTAAGGGAAGTAGCTAGTAATAATTCAGTTGCGAGCCCTCGAAGGTACCAGCGTTGTCATTGCAAGACTAGTTGTAATAATAATAAGCATTGTGCTTACCTTGGGGCTGAAAAATTATGTTATATTAAATGTCATGGGAGTAAAACTTGTAAAAATAAATAAAAAATAATAATGCATTTATTCTATTTTTAAAAATATCTGGGTACTTACATAATTTTTCAAATTGTAGTATTTGAGATTCATGCGCTTATCTGATTTATAACATCAATTACCTGTGTATTTGGTCATTAACGTGATTATCCAGTTTATAACGATAATTACCTGTATATTTGGTAAATAACGTTAATAACCGGTGAATAACGTTAATTTCCATTTAACATCATTTACCGTAACATATACACTATAAGGATTATAGAAGATCTTTACATACCGTGGGCAGGTTAAATTTCAACGAACTACGATTTATATCATTTGAATAAAAACTCAAAAGCTATGATATTAGTTCATTATTATAGAGGTACAATCGTTATTGATCGACAATAGTTATTTAAATCACATAAATCATATTAAATCCAATTCGCATATATTTCCGCACAAATTTTAAAATATGCAATACTAGTCACTAGATAGTAGATAATATTTATTATAATACATTTTCAAATAGGCATTTAATTGTATGAACAAAGTAATAAAAAAAATTAGAAATTAAATGACTTGCACGTTTGTTTTAAATTTCCAGTAAAACATAACACTAAATAGTATTAAATGTTTAAAATATTATATATCTAGCTTAAAGCATTCTAAACTATTTTAAAGATAAAATTAAACAAACTTCAAACTATCAAAATTTTTTCTTGGCAATGATATTTTTTAGTTCCAGAAAGAAAAGATATTATCATAGCAAAAATTGTCAATTCAAAAATGATTTATTTAAGGTTATTAAGACTTTTCTTTAATTTATTGATGAAAATTCGCGAATTATTTAAAAATACTTAAAAGATTATGGTATAGTTTGTAATGGTTATAAATATTTCATCAGATTTGCACATTTATCTTGTTATATCGACTGGATAACATGTATATGGTAGCTAGTAATAAATATATTTTAGTACTTATACCTATTATCTACCTAAAATTACTTTATGAATATATAATTATCCAATAAAAAACGTATTAATTAAAATTACAAATTACATCAATGAATCAAAACAGGTTCGGTACATGGATCATATTACATTTACATAGGCGTTCCCAGATATTTTTCTGGGAGGGGGGACGAAATTAACTTAAAAATAAATGAAAATGTTTGTTACATATTTTATTCATAAACATTCAAATCTAATTAGTATGAAAAATACTTAAATAAAATTTAATTTAAATACGAAATTGAAAGTTTTAAACAATATATGTTTGGGGATATCCCTAGTGCGTCGCGCTTTTAGTTTTTACCTTTTTTATAGCCCAAGTACGTCCACAATCATACCGACAAATTATATTGATAGACCGAGTGCGTCCTTAGTCCACAGCTATAGGTCCTATTTAAGATAAAATTATCAAATAAACCTTTCAAGATACAGGTTTGAGTGATTTGACGATGGTCGAATATATTGGTCAAATATACAACTATAATACTTTATTTTTAAAGCTATGGTTGTGGAATACTGAAAATGATGGGAAAATTGCTTTTCAACTTCTATAATGATTTATGAAAATAAGTAAATAAAATTTGTCTTAAATAAAAAAAAAAAACTTTTAAAAATAATTAGTACGTTTGCCCTAACACTCTCTAATTCAAGCGTGTAAACTAAAACCAAATATATAATTATAATTTATAAATAAGAATCAAACAATATTTTTGGGCTGTAAGCCAGTTTACCTCATCGTGGTGCACCCTAGATAACTCTAAATGAACTGGCACACACTAGGACTATATCAAAAATAAGACCTTTTTCTTGGGACGCACTCAGGTGATACGTTATTTCGGACGCACTCGAAACATTAAAAAACATCATTTCGGCGGGACGCACTCGGGAAACTCCCATATTTTTAAGTTAGACGAGTTATTAAATATAGAAATTACTTTGAAATTCTAAATTTTATTTTAAAAAATAATCTACAAGATTCCTATTCTAATATTTCAATAGCATATTAAATATTTTTAATTTAATCTGTGGCTTTAGCATCTTGCGAACGAAGTTTTAGAAGTTAAAATTAATCAAATCCAATCTAACATCTTCACCAACAAGATAGACTCAATCATCTTTAAGTACTTCAATCGTCTACTATAATAGACAAAAACAGATTTATAAACAAAATTAGCAATGTAGTTTTACATTTACCTATGGGAATAGATTAGAAAAATCGAGTATATTCCTGTTGAAATATCCTAAAGAATTATTTATTTTTTTAATTTCATAAAAAAAATTTAATTTTTTAAATTTGAATTTGTATTTATTGCGTAATATGATTTTTTTAAAAAAAATTTATGTTTTAGGTTTCGGATTTTTAATTAAAAAGTAATGAAAATATATTATTATGATTTATGATTAATAAATATATTTCGATGGTTAATGGTTATAAAACCAATTTTGTAACCTTAACTTTGGTCAAAAATAATTAAATTCCATGTAATATTATCATGTCTCAATCAATGTTGAAATCCAAAATTTGATTTTTTGCTATATATGTTTTCAATTTTCCTTTATTTGAATGCTACAACACATAAACCAATGATAAGTTTTGATAAATGATGGTGTCAAATATAGTAAGCCACCCTATTATTATTCTTATAATTTCCATCTATTATAGGTAACATTTTGTTCATATCGGATATTGAAACTTTTTAAAGTAAATAGTTCATTATGAAATGAAAAGTTTTATAAAACGTTTAATGAACAAAATAGATTGATGATACAATATTGTATAATTCTATAATAATATTATTATACCAAATGTTGTATCCCTAATTCAAATAGCATTATAACTTACAACTAATAAGTATTAGTGCTGTAATAATATTATTATAAAATATAATCAAATGATTTAACCCTCAAGGACTCGGCTAGGTCATTTAAACAAAGATTTGTATGTTGTTAATAATAGTTGGCAAATCAATACGTAGAATAAAAAATACCTTCTAATTAGATTGAAAAAACTATTTTGTTGGTAAATACCATAATATCTAAATTGTCTCCTGTACAATTGTGGTTTGTGGTTTTGAATATTTAGCGATTTAATGGTGATCTGTTAATAATTTAAATTTTAAGGTAATAATATTATTATATTCATCTAAAATGTGCTATTAGTTATTACTTATAAGTTATAACTATCATTTTCACTGTATCCATTATATTTGTGTGTTAGTTTGTTAGTTATACCATTGATTTTATAAAATCAATGGTTATACTAAAATAAAAATACTGTTGAATATCTACAAACAAAAAAATTGGCTACCAATAATACAAATTCCATATATGTTTATTAGTTCTTATTTCTATATTTACATGTGTATTGCTCAAAAACAACCTTGAACTATACTAACAATGTACTTAATAGTTCTTGGATCAGAAAGTGATATTTCTTTCGCAATTAATATATACGATATACTCACTATATAGATAATACTACATATAACAAATACATTACCAGTTAGTGCGTATGCGATTTACGTAAAATATTTTTTTAATGCTTACTGGATATTCGCAATCGTGTTGTATAAATATAATTTAATCAAACGTATCCCAAATTGGGAGGGGGGACAGTTGATGAAGAGTACAGCCACCCTGTCCAATAAAAATGAATAGGTTAAGCCTATAAAATAACAATAATTGAACTTTGATAAACTATATCACCTATATAGTATATATTTAATATAAAATGTACTTAATTACTTTTATCAGTTTATCTATTTATAACGGGTTCCCCGGTAAAAAAAAACATTCTACGCTTCTGAGTAAAATCAGTTGAAATCGCGATGGATGTTGACAATGTTGTGCATTTAGTATAACAATTATAAATCTGTGGACAATGATTTCGTTCTCTCATTTGAAGATATTGTACTATGATTCTGCAGAAGACGTTTGATTAAAATGTAATCATAAAAATGTAATGATATATCGAATTCAGAATAATCTTAAAATGTCTCCATCAACACGCTCGAATATGAAACACGTCAGCATGTCTAAGGGTTCTTTTCACTATTTAAGGAAATAAATAATCGCGATTATATATTGATTTATCACTAATTACGTATACCTAATTCAGCAATTAATATTCTTCGTTTGCCAAAGCTGAAATCTTTATGTTATAAATTATTACGTATATACACCTAGGAATACCGTATTATACAGCCGACTTAAGCATTAGCGTAATAGTATAAGTACCTTATATATTATAGTTGACAGACACTCGGGCACTCGGGCACTGGGACACTCGGGCACTCGTCGTTAAATTTCAGGATTTCGGAGATCCGGTTTGAACGTACCTATTGAAATATAAATAGGTAATAATAAACATAACAATGTCCACTGCGTCACTTTACCTCAAATTGGTTCAACGTGCTAACGACGCGTCGAAATACCATTTCGTATTATAATTTATAAATAATATCATTATTTAGACACACGGATAATTGCACTCGTGAAACGGCATTGGATGCGTCAAAGCCTAGATATGCACTCAAGGCCGCACAAAATGTAGTGCGGTAATTTAGTAAGTATGATAGGTACATATAGAGGTAGGTAAAATGTATAATATAGGTGTATGTAATGTAAAAACTGGTGTAGGCATCGTGAGTCTCAATGTACTCGTATAAAATACGAACCACTTCCAGAATCAGTTTATTCGTACGATCATTCGGCACATGACGTTATAACAGTATAATTTGATGCGCACACGATTCACGAGGAATACATTCGTTTGCGTATTATAACAACGTATAACAATAATATTATACTTTGTTGCAATAAACGATTTTGTTGGAAACGTAACCGTCGCTGCAAAAAACTCGTCGATGATTCATTCGCGTTTGCCTCGCCGGATCGTTTTTATTATAGTTGCTGCTGGCTAGATACGTCAAGAACTGAAGTGGACACTAATAATTATTGTAATAATAATATCACCATGTGCGATTTTAATTCGCTTAAAGTTTTACGGAATTTTTTAATACAACAATAATAATAATAATAATAATAATAATACGATTTGAAAAAATCAGTCGGCGGCTGACTGTTGAGCACGCGTGTTACGTGTTACGTTTTTAAGACGACGAATAAATCGTATAACGATTATAAAATGTTATTGTAAAATATGTCTTCGTAGTGCAATGCAGTGAGAAGGTATTATGTGAACGTTCACGTTTCAATCTATCTATCGTATCAAAACGAAAATACCGATTAAATGAAGTGCTGGCGCTATTCTGGATTGGACACGGTGTTTTTATTTATAAAAATACAAAAAACATTTATCACAGGTAAGAGGACGTGATATTAATTATTATACACTTAAAATATATATATATATATATGTATGAACTGAACAAATTAATAACTACCTCCTTAATGATTCATTTTTTATAGACAGTATCTTATCTTAGAACCTTGGAATACGTTTATACTGCGTGATTAACCACTCAACATAATAAAACATAATATTTGTATCATCGCATTTTCACACCTTCAGTACATATTATTTTAATGTACAGTTAATATCTTCAAACAACGTCGGTGTTACAAATGTGAAATAATTCGAATTATATTTCATGTATAAGTCTGAAAATTGTTTATGCTAGAAATATCGTTATGTTGATCGCTATCACTTGTAAACATATTTAAGTGCACTAAGACTAGACGAAATTGCATTACAACAAATACATCAGACATCGCGACCAGATGAATCAATTCGACAACATTATAAAGAGCCAATTCACATTTTGTTCTTAAAATGGGTATGGATTATAATCGATAACTATCAACTGTAATAGTGGCTTATAATTTTATCATTATTTTCGTCTTTCGATGCGTTTTCATATTTACCAGCAATAATTGTGCGTGTATATAACTTCTGTTTTGTAGAAATAATAACGAAAAATCACGTAACCGCTATCACTGGATCGTCGAATATGAATTTAATACTTGGCATATGTCTGATGGGCATTGTTTCGCTGACAGCGGCACAAACCAGAGTCAAATGTTTTGACAACAATAACGGCAAGGATAAAATGGGCATAATATTGGACTGTTCCAATATGATTGGCAAAAGTCATCTATACAGTATTGAAGAGTGGATTCGATACCATGCGTTTTTCGATGACGGAATTCTTGCTAATCGCGTATTGAATATTAATCTGGAAAACAATAATTTACAAAAAATATTTACACTCCCGTTAATGACATCGTTGAAGAAGTTGTCGTTTAAATACAACAACATATCGTTAATTGAAAATAAAGCATTGACGAATTTACCAGCACTCGAAGAACTGGATCTAAGTTACAATTCGTTGAACAGTAAGTAAATTATTTATTTTACGTAAAAACAGTTTTGATAAAAGATAAAAAAAATAAAACACTAAACCATATAATTTATTTAAATATAGAGTTTTATTCATTTAAATCATACTCTAAACCTCCATAAATTATCTTATCTAATTTTTAATTTTTAATAGTATTTTTTTAAATAAAAATATTGCATCTCATAACTCATAAGTGCATGTATAGCGTATAGTAGTTATGTATAAATATATAATATTCAAAATACCTGATAATAATTAACCACAATAAAAAAATCAAATTTTTCTTTTGAATATGACATAACATAGACAAGTATTTTATACAAATTTATGATTAGTATTAAGTGGTTACGTTCATGATAACTAAAAAAAAATCAAGAAAACTATGTTTTTTAAGTTCCTTACTTTGTTAGTAATTAAAAACTATTATATTAAAGTTTTTTAAGCAACCAAAATTTGATTTTTTTTTTTTTTTTGAGCACTTTTAAATTATTAAAATATAATTAGGTACTTCTTCTCAGACGATTATTGATATTTTATTGTAATTAAAAAACGAATAACCGTAGATATTTTAAATGTTTTTTAAGAGTGTGTATAATTATTCTTATATTATAGAATATACATGATAATATTTTCAATATATTATGACTATTTTTGAGTTATTTATAGACATTTTCAATTTTCAATTTTTTTTTTTTAGATTCATAAGTGTCGATAACAATATTTGTATTAGGTCAAAAAAAATTTGTTATTATTATATGTTTTTAAAGACATTTTAAGTTAAAATTTGGATAAAATTACATACTTACAAATTATAAATAACAATATTCATTATTTTGTTATGGTTTAAAAACATTATTTGTGGAGACATAAAACTTTTACTTTTATTGATATTATTATATTCTGAACATACAATAATATTTTTAATTGCAATATTTACTTAAAAAATGTATTCAGCCTACTGTATTAATATTTACTAAAATTAACCTAAATTACTTGAATTAATTACATTAAAAAAAAAATAAATAAATAAACCGTCTCCGCTTAAAATCATTATTAATATATAATGATATATCATTTAATTTTTATTCAACACAGCTATCACAGTGACCCACTCAACATCTACAGTTTTGTAAAGCGGCAATTACTTGCCCGTCTTAATACATTTTTGTAAAAGTTATATTCATTTTATATAAGATTCTAAAACACTATAACAGAAATATAAATCATTGTTTTTTTTTTCAATCAATAATAATAATAAATAAATAATTTAGTACGCCACTATCCTGTCTTGAAGTATACAGAACTATGCAGAACTTGTGCAATTATATATCATATTTCATATGACAAATTAAAAGTTAAAACTATGAATTCCAAACAACTTTAAAAAAATAGAGTGTAGGTTAGGTCGTCATAAATACGATTTATTTTTTGATAGAACTTGAGCACGCTGATCAAATCTAATTTTAAAATCTGTATACTCTCATAATGTATTCCATTTATAGTTAATTAGTTTTTATTATAATGAATTAATATAATTAATATGTACCGTAAAGAGCAATTACTAAATATGTATAGTGAATTAATTATTGAACACCATGTTTATGAGAAAAGTTGTTCTTTGTGTGGTCCTTTATAATAAACTAACTAAAAAGTATTAACCAAAGAAATCACTTTATTGTGTAATCATTAGTAGCTGTGTCGACTGTCGAGTGTACCTCGACATTGAGTAGGTCAAATTCAATCATTAATAATTATATACATAAAACAATTATGAACGGAGACAGTCTGTTATCTATATTAGTAAATTTCTTACGATGAACTATAATTTATCAAAGTATTGAAATTAGTAATATAGTAGGTTGAACTAATTTTTGCCAAAAAATATTAACATGATAATTTTAAGCTCAGAACGTTTATAAATAAATGTTTTGATTATGTATTTTTGATATCTTGTAATTTCGTAATGATTTCAACTTACAAAGATATTTGTATTAAATTGTCAAGATTTTTAACTCACAAGAAAAATTCAACATACATACTTGAATTTAAAAAAAAAGTCAATCATTTTAAATGTTTATGAATTGCACAAAAAATCGAAAATAATTGAATATATTGTTACTGATTACTTATTAATTATTGAATTTATTTATGTAGAAAATATTAATTCAATTCTTACCGTTATTTATTTTGAAATTACAGAAAATTGCTTTTGAAAAATAATAGTTTTATGTACAAATTCTCGTTTTTCCAAAATTGTTTTTATTTTATTTAATTACTTTGATTAGTAATTACAGGAAATATTTGACTATTTTTTATCCAAAGTACCAAATAGATCAAATTTTCTATCTCAAACTACCCTCAAAGCTTAGGATAATAATAATACATTAGATAACCAACTATTCAAATATTAGATAACATTCATTGTTTTACTCAGAACCTAAAATAGAGGACTTAGCAACCCTCTTTTTTTGTAATTGAAAATTTCCACTGTGCAATCGTTTTATTTATCATGTTGTTCATTATAAAATAATGACGCCAATGACGGTATACTTATAACATGTATAAGTATCTAAAACTTCAAATAACATTTTGTTAACTTTTCACTGGTTTTGCAAAGAACAATTTCAGTTATAAAAACAATTATTTGTATCCATGGAAATTGAAATTACTATAGGGTGGAATGGTAGATCTAATTTGATTAACCTTCGAAGTACGTGATTCAATTAACCGCTGTAAATTGAACGAAGAAACTGTACAGACAAACAACCCATAAGACTATATTAAACTTTCACAACGACCGTGTAGATAGATATGTTGTACATAATAGTATACATATACTTTACGTAAGACGCCGGGGAACATCCTAATTCATCGCCATGCGAATTCTATTGAATTTGGTTCATTTATATTGACTAATTAGCAATTAAATTACAATTTACAATGTAGTATACAGAGTATGTAAAACTGCTTACATTCTTCAAGTTATATGCATAAATTTCATCCTTTCATAATATTATGTCATAATAACGTATGATGTAGTAGCATGCACATTATACATTATATTAATGAACTATCTATTTAATTTATACATTGGATATCGATTAAAAATTTAAATAAAAAATAAAATTATCAACAAACTTACTTACTGTAGCTAATTACATAAAATTATTAATAATTTAGACAATTGATTATTTAGCTATTGATCGATAAAACAATATAAAATGTCGATTTAATTATATAAATATAAAAACAAGTGATAAAAATTTCGATGGAACATTTTTGAAAATTATAGTTTATAATTTTAAATACTATACTAGACCACCAAGTATTTGCAATAACTAAAAACAAAATAAAGATTAGTGAATGTTTCAGTCGATCTTAAGACATTCAAAACACCCTTCTGTGTACATTAATTAATAAAAGGTAAATATTATGTTCCATTTTTGTTAATTTTATAAATTATAATTTAAAAATGTCATAATTTTTTTTTACTTAAACTTAAAAACACTTCTAAAAAAAGTTTGATTTTTTTGTACTGTGAAAATTAAATTTTTTTATTTAGACCTGTACAAATATTTAAAAATATTAAATAAAAACAATTTTTGAAGAAAAAAAATTGCAATACAAGTATAAAGATAGCTTGAAATGTATTTAACTTTTTAAAAATAAAAAATAATTTAGAATTCAATATAAATAGATATGTATTTTAATATTATATTTTACTTTAAATAGAAGGTAGGTCTGTGATGTCAGTTTTTCCTGAACTTAAAATTACATTTTATTGAAAAATACAACATTTTCGTTGAAAATGTATCTTAAGTTTTAGTTTAACTAATAAATAATAATAATGTATTAACGTTTATTTCACAAGGAAAATTAGTTTAGAGAATCATTGATATATACTATTGATATAATTCGCCATTCTTGTAGTAGAACTCAAGTTATTTTAATTTTTTGAATTGAACAAAGATTTAAATAATGTTTTAATGTAATCATTCCATATATTACATCAGTCAAGTTTTATTTTACTATACACAAGCCAGATAGTTCGTCAGACGTAGGTAACGAAAGATATTATTTAGATAACCTGTTTTAAACGTAGCTTTAGCCTATTTATAAAAACATGATTAATATTTTGTTTAATTTAACTTAATAATTTTTTTATAAATTAGCACGAATTTTTAAATGGAAATTTAGTACAGATAAATTATAGAATAACTAACAATAAAATAAATGTATTAATTATTATTGTTATTATTATTAACACGAATCCTTATTTAAAAAATATATATATTTATACTTATATTGTCTAAACTAATCATTTAATAAATCTTGTGTCAAATCATTATTTTTTTTAATTAGTTTGGTAATATTTTTAAATAATAAGTTTATTACAAATGCATTATTTAAAGTGAACTTATGAAAATAATAGTTAAAATTAAATTAATAATTTTAATACTTGAAGTTTAAAAAAAAAATACCCACATAGTATTAATTGTATTTACTGTACTTTGTAATTAATTTATTGTATAATATTAAATATATAGTGAATGACAATGAATATAATTTATCTTAGGTCATGAATTACGTCCATCTGTTTTTCGTCGTTATCAACTCCCAAACATACCAGTTACGAACGATCCAGCGTTAAGAATCCTTAAATTAGGATACAATAATATACATTCTTTGCCACCAAATTTTTTTCAGTATTTAACGAAATTAGAAAATCTTGAATTGAATAATAATCCTTTATTGGTGATTGATCAAAACACAGAAATCTCCTTAGGGTATTTAAAAAATCTTCAGGTAAACGATTAAATCTAGTGTTAATAGCATATAATATAATAAAAATAAAAATATTGCAGGTATTGGATTTAAGCAACACAGGTATATCAGACTTCCCACCTGGTATGTTTTCCCAATTGTTTAATGTCCAAACGTTATATCTTAACGGCAATAAGTTCCAAAATATACCAATGGAAATTCGTACCAATCGTAACATGTCTCTAGCATATCTGAATATGAACGCTAATCCTATTAGTAATTTGGACAGTGAGTCATTTGTCGGTCTGGACCAACTTCAAGAACTCGTTATCAGTGGTATGCCTAATTTGACCGATATCGGGTACAGCACATTTGCGCCACTAAAGAAGCTCGTAATATTACACATGTCATACAATCCCAGTTTGTCAAACATCCATTATGACGCTTTCGTAGACAATACCGGTCAACAACAGTCACTAAGACAAGTAATTGAAAACAAAGATGTTGGTGAATAAATGTTTTTATAAAGTTTCGCTTTTGATTTTTAGCTATCAATAAGTTATACGAACATTAACAGTTTAGATTCAAGACTCTATCCTTGGTCAATGCTTGACTTATTTGACGCTAAAGGTAATCAATGGACGTGTGACTGTAGATTGTCCTGGCTTGCAGATTATATCAATAAAACATTTGCAGAAATACCAGAAAACCTATTATATTATCGGTAATATTGAATTAGTATGTTAAAGTTTTTTAAACATTCACAAATCATTTCATTAGAAACTTAACACTACGAAACGTTTTGAAATTATTAAAGAAACGTCTTGCAATAATCTTACTTTAATTTTATTGCACAATGTACATACTTGTATTTCTATGATCCGTAAATTCTCTATCTTAAAATATGCTTTGTATTTTTCCTCCGATAATCGCCATTTCTATTAGATTGTTCTGTAATTCACTAATTTCTTAGTCATCTCTAAATAGTGATAACTTTTATTGAAATATCATAATTTTTTTCAAAGTATTATTAAGTATCTATTTACTTTATTATTCATTTGTAGTTTTAATGTGCATTTATGTATTTCAGATGTAACGAGCCCAAAAACCTGTATACCACACTAGTATCTCAATTAAATGAACACATCGATTGCGACGATTATAACTATGATTCTAATCATCATAGTCACGGTCACGTCACACGACTTCGACATTTAGTCATCGTCATCGGATTAGTAATTGGCATTCTCGTGTTTGGCTCATTAATAAACATGGGTTGTAGGGAAATAAAGAAGGTGTTAAAACCTAGGATATATGTTCCGACTGGATTTAGCACCGGTGTAAAATACAAGCCTGCAGATTTTGAAGAAAATATAGACACATTAGAAGTGCCTGTCAAAAACACAATGATCCATGGACGATCGCCAATAGTTATAAACAATACAGACTGAAATTTTAAATTTTAAACATTTTGGTTAAAAACAAATTTGAGCCAAATAATGTGAAATATTAAGCAATATTATTTTGTTGTAAGACGACGTGTCTAGGTATACTTACTATACCTATGTATGTATGTATGTATGAATAATTGTTGTTGATTACAATAATAAATGTTATTTTTACTTATTTATGTACTTTAATTTATTCGTAAGTTTTATAATATGTATGAAATGGTATATTATATTAATAAATACCTACTGTATTATGTTTAGTGAAAATAAAATACCCGACGTTTTAACCTACATTGTCTCTCTATAGTCTCTACATTTAATTCAAAACGTTTTTTGAAGCGTTCTCAATTTACACATTCTTGCTCTTAGAGGTCTTTAGGGTCTTGTCACAGGTCCATTGCAACGACTCAACGACCAAGGACACTTTTCGTCCGTTTCTGTAAAATGTCTAGTGGGCTTTTGACATAATGAGTTTGTCTCATCACATACACACGTAGCTGTAATGAGGGCACAACGTCAAGGGGTGTGTTTTTTCTTTCTTTTAGTTCATTGTTGACGAGAACCGGAAACCCTTGATGCCGGTTATTGTTGTGTTCTATGTGCCAAAACGCTTTGTATACATAGAATTATTTTTAACCTTGTTACTGAACCTGTGTTCATATTGTTCTGAAAAAAAAAAAACACAAAATAATAACAAAGGAAGTGAGAAGATTTTTATTTAAATAATTTTCATAATGGAAATTAATTTTAAAATATCAGTTTAAACTATGCATATAATAATTATAACCGACCTATAAAGTATCTTTTTAATTTATATTACGTATTATAATTTATAGGTAATCGTACAAAAATATAACTTTCTACAACTATCGCTATAGGCCATACATCAAATTATTTGTATTTATATGTAGATAATAAATAGTTTTATATACGAGTACATTGCCGGTTTCTTCAAAAAACAACAATCACAGGTTCTCGGTTGACGAATAAAATAAAATATGCATTACTATTATTTTAAGTAACGCGTGTAAGTGGATCACTTGATATATTATCGTATCAATGATCCAAGTAAAATATAATTAACGATCTATTGAGTGGTAGACGTAGAGTATTTAAAAAAAAAACAATTTTAAATGATAGCCTCAGCTAAAATAATTGGATGTTAGTGATTTAGATATGATTAAGATATAATTCTGCTTATGAGGAGATTTAACGTGGATTGAAAATGTACATAGGAAATTAATGATGCGAGTACACAACTGGCTTTCTAGTTTAACGTGTAGATTTACTGACGTAAAGGCATAAAGCGTTTTTTCAAATATTAAAAAATAATATATATATTAAACTTTTAGATAAAAAATAAATAGTAAGTTGATACTAAAATAATTTTTTCGTATTATAAATGTATACAAACAATGTTTGTGTGTAGGGTAGCTATAATTTATTGAAATAAATTATATAGGTATATTAAAGAAATTTATCGCATCATGTTTGTTGTTCATGGGCTAAGCGATTGGCTTTGTGTGGTGTGTCGTTAATTGTTATATTATATTATAATATAATAGTTGTGAGAATTTACTTTTATTCGATAATTGTTAATAGAAAAAAATTGTTAATAATGTTTTTGTATTATCTACACTTACAATACGTTTTCATTTTAATTAAAGAAAAATCGAACAATTATTAAAATTTTAAAAATGAATAGTTATGATAGTTTTTAATCTGAATGTTTAGAATGTTTAAATACATATTTTGAAAGCATATTATCTTTGTGGTTAGCTATTAATAAATTGTTTTGCATTCCACGCGCAATTCTGAGTATTATCATCAATGTATTATCTTTCTCGTACACGTAATTAATTAATACTATTAATACACACGTGTATGCGTATTGCCTATATACATATAAATACGATGCAAGTTATTATTTAATTACAACATTATTAATAATAAATATTAACGCACAATCAATATGGTATTATAATATAAAATAGTGTTGTGTACAGAGCACACATATACAATAAATTATTGTTAAGGTCAGGATTTCAATCCAGAGTGCATCCTGTGCTCTAGGAATTAGCATCCCATAAGCTGCTAAGTGCTAGACAATTTATTTTATTTAACAAATATAGGTACTTCAAAGGTGACATTTTTAAATTACATTTTTTTAAATTGTTAGGTCATTTAATTATTTTTTTATGCGTATTGATACATCGTTCTAGCTTTTTGTGATGGTTAAAAAATTAAAAATATAAGGTATATCAAGAACTATTATTTTCATAATATTTGCTTACTTTAGGTATTTTTTAACTGTACCAAATGTCAATCGTTCTATTTATGAATGCGAATATGCGATAAATCGTATATTCAAATAGATAACAACTACTTAATCAGTTAATCGTGCAGGTCATATCGCAATCGGCTTTTGCTTTGACTACATTGTTAAATTTATTTTGCATGTCCATGTTCGGTATTGTTAAAAATTTCAAAAATTAAATAATCGTTTTTCTCTAGTTTACACACTTATTGAAAAAAGAAAATCGGATTATTTTTAACAGGCATTATTGCGTCGAAATTGCGTTTAGATAATTTTGATTTTTTTGCCAAGCATATTTGATATTTAGTTTTTAGGATATTTAGATCCGAGCCTTGATTTTTATATATAATATATATACTAATATACTATAAATATATGTCATAAACTGATCAACCTGCAGTCTAAAACTCCATTGGTGAACTAAAGTTTTTATATAGCAATGAATAAAATAATATAAGTAATACTTTAACGCAGTAGCTATCAAAATAATTTCGGAGAACTACTGATCAAATATGATTTATACCTATATTTGAATAGTGGAAATCTCACGGAAAAAAATATCCACTATAACTGCTCAAATAGTAAAAAAATATTTATGTATACCAGTAACGTCGGCCGGTTAGCTTAGAACTTAGATTCTTAATCTTTTCTGGACCATGGGCCCCTTTGAAATATGAAATACAATCACGGACCCCCTTCCCACCAAATATATATATATATAAATAAATATGATTTTTATTTTAATTATTTTTTAATGATAAATGTAAAACGTAATACTATATACTAATTATTAGTAGCACTCACAGCCATCCCGTGGATCCCAAGTTAAGAACCTATATGGCTTAGAATGTTATTTTTCTACAGCTAAAAATGTCGTCACACCTAAAAGAAGTTGCTTATCAACTGAGAACCTAAACTCATCAGTATTTTTGTACCAAAACCTCGAAAACTCTTGTAAATTTTTAAGTCTAAAAATATATTTTGTCAATTATTTTTACTCGTAAGTTTATTGAATTGTTTCGTAATAATTTTTTTTTATTTATCATTTAAATATATTATTTATTTATTTATTCGAGTTTTTTACTGATCTTTAATTGATATATATATTTTTTTTTATTTGCGTACTGTATATAAAACAATCGACTGTACTATTGTTACGTTTAGTTATTTCCTTTAACTTTTTCGTTATCGTTTTGTTTAAAACGTAGTATTAGTTATAACTCACATTCAAACAACTTTATTTATTAAAATTAGATAAAAAAAAAAAAAAAAAAAATAGAAAAGACAACGTGCGCGTATAAATCAGTCACACGGATTTAAACGTTCATTTACCCGCGGTGCGTTTTATTTGGATACACAGACTTTAATGCCGTTTTTAAACGCCTGCGAAATAGAGACCTCTGATCTATGTATACCTATACGACGGTACCCATAACATGATACGCCACACAACAAGCCGTCGCGCACCACCATCGTCCGCGGGCGCGATAGGCGGATGTTCCGTGTGCCGTACACGAAATCACCATAACGGTTAATATTCATAACGGCGAGTCTGTTATGCATATAATACGAATAATACACGTACGGCGGCGGCGGGGGTCGTGTTGTTATTATTATTATTATTATTATTGTGATTATTATGAGTATTATGACACTTCGCGCCGTCTAAAGTTCCAGATTCACGTATTAAACTGTACGTATATAATACGAGTATTATTATACTCGGGGGCCGCACACCTCCTCCGCCGCCGCCGCCGCCGCGCAAAGGCGGACGCTGCTGAAGTCGGGTCGAGAATAAACGTCGTCATCGCATTCAATCGCAATAACCTCCATAATATTATATAGCCCCTTTAGTATTCCGGGACTTTGCTGCGGGTCGCCCCATAGACAATGGGCTAAATGAAGAACGCAGACGTGCCGCAAAACGCCCGGACCGCCACTCCGCAGCTCGCCACTGCCGCCGCCGAAGCTTTACCGCGTGTTTTATACATTTTTGTACACGCGTATATATTATTATTATTATTATTATTGCTATTATGTATACATAAAAGCCCGGAAAGAAAACTGGGCGAAATGATTCGATTTGCTCCGATTCACTCTTTCCCCCCGCGACTGGTCCCGCACTGTGCCGATGTATTTTATGCGCATACATAATACTACCATATAATATTATACTTTATGCGAAACGCGCCTTTTATTATAATAATAATAATAATAATAATAATGTAAATACTATAGGTCTATATAGCTGCCCCGCGCGCACGGATGAGGCTATGTAACCATTGCGGACGAAATAACCCGATTAAACGCCACCCCGTAAACACGTGTACATACATATAAATATATTATCGATGTGTGTGTGTGTGTGTGTGTACGCCACGTACCATATAAATATAGATACGTATATACATAATATATACATATATATAATGTTGTATATGTATAGGCATATATATATATATATATTATATATACAGACTTCCTCCGTGTACATAAAACGAATCAAAACACGGGCGCCCTTTTATTATTAAAATAGAATTATAACGAGGGAAAAAAATATCGTATCCCGCCATGTCAATATGTTTTTCGGGCCCTTTTGAAATCGGCTACAACAGCACCGCTGTCGTTGCCGTCGTCGTCGTCGGCGGCGGCTCAAAAAACCTCGCCCCCCCCCTACCCGTATTTGTTTTATTAACTCCTAAAACATCACGCACGCACCCCTTCATCTGAACGGAAGCCAATAATGTTACTCAATATTATATTATACACTCGCACGGCGCACCTTAATACTTATCACAGCGTTGATCCTCTGCTCATTTTTTTAAACGCTTTGATTCTATACATCATGGCAACAATGT